TTTTTTAGTCATAATGCAATATTTTGTAGAAAAATAAATAAATATTATTTATTATCAGTTATCGTTTCATTATTGCTAATTATTCATGGTAAAATAATATTTTTTTTGCATTCATAGTTTGTTAATGTTATTAATCATAAACAATGATCAAATATTACAATATATAAGCCTATGCTCAATATATGAGCCTAAGCTCAGCATGCCCAATGTAGGGTGTCAGCTAGAGGGGTATAAAGCCCCCCCAGCATTGGCCTGGAGCAGTGCAGCTGCATTCTCTGGAGTGATGGAACTCCATCCAATACTTTTGGGATGAGTTTGTGGTCCAGAACTGACCATCCAGAATCACTAATGGTCAATCAAATCCTCACAGCAATGTTCAACAACTAGTGTGAAGCCTCCCCAGAAAAGTAGAGGATGTTACCGCAGCGAAAGAGGCCAAACACCCCATTAATACCCTTCATTTCAGAAGAACACAAACTTCTGGACAAATAGTGCATAAGCTCACTGACTCAGTAAAGCATCACTGATTCATCGCCACAGCAGAGAGTGACTGACTGCGTGGTGGACAAGATGAGAGGCTACGGTTAGTTTGTGTGTTTACAGAGAACCGTCCACTTACTGAAGCTGTGGAATAGACTGAGAGGGCTTGATTGGTTTAATACAATAACGATCAGTAATCAAATTGCTTTGCTAATCTGATAAGACTTATAAACACTGCTGCTCAGGGCAATTGGTTTGCACTGGTTCCACCTTGTGGTCATTCTCTGTAAATGCACCCATGTATTTCTTTTTATTTTTTATTTTTTTTAAACTACATTCAGACTGTCCACATAGACATTTGGGTCATTCTCTATTTGGGGGGAGAACCATGTTCCAGAGGTTGCAGGGCTTAAAAAGATGCTTATAATATCAGGTACAGCTCCAAAAGTCGGTATGTACGTTTACACAGTTGACCTAATATTAAATAACACTTTTACCTTATGATTCTCTGTTTTTACTCTTTTTATCCTGTTTCATAATCGCCCTGCATCTGTAATGTATGGGTGATGTTCACATCTGTGAAGGCACCATTAATGCTGAACGATATGCTGCCATCCAGATGGTGCCTTTTTCAGGGAAGGCCTTGCTTATTTCAGCAAGACAATATCAAACCACTTTCTGCATGTATTACAACAGCATTGCCCCCAAACTGTTAAGCAGCTGAAATCTTATATCAGACAAGAATGCGAAAACATTCCAAACGCACATCTTCTTTTAACAACAGAATGTTGTTAAAAGAAGATGTGATGAAACACAGTGATAAACATGCCCCCGTCCCAACTTGTATGGAATGTTTTGTTGGCATCAAATTCAAAATGAGTATATATTTTTCAAAAAACAATAAAAATTCTCAGTTTCAACATTTGATATGTTGTCTTTGTAATATTTTCCTTTAAACCTGGTTTACATGATTTGCACATCATTGCATTCTATTTTTGTTTACATTTTGCACAGCATCTAAACTTTTTTGGAAATGGTGTTGTACAAAATAAACATTAATTTAATTAATTCATTCATCTTTTCTTTTTCTTCTTTTGCTCAAAATAATACATTTTGGCTCATTAGAGTCACATTTCTGACATAAAACAAAACCCCATTCTGCCTTTATACTGACCTGCTACGCTTACTGGCTGGGACAGTTTCATTACAGTAGCTGGTTGCTGTCTAACCTAAAGGAAACTTAAACTAATGATTTCTACCTAATACTGACCTCTGCACTGGACAAAATATTTAGGACTGACCTTTATACTTAATCTGCAATGCTTCTTTGAATAAGAACAAGGAAAAGAAAAGAAATTTTATCCTAAAATGAGAAAATAAATGTTACAAAAAATAAACAAATAATAAAAATAAATATCATATAAACCGTTAAATTGAACTTTCTGATAATGTAGTCACTCTGATCCAACACTAATTTCTTGTTTTAAAACAAATTACATGTAAACTGTTTGTATTCCTTGAAAATCACAGCTTCTTTTCATGTGTTTTCAGAAAGCGAGTTCTTAAGATTAGAAGATTCTGTCTGCATTTGACCTGCTCCAATAAACTAATTTACAAAAATGATAGGATTTTTATTTCGTACATTTAGAATACAATTAGGGTGTCTGTCATTTTCATGTAGGAAAGAGACGTGTTCCACATATCAGTTCTCAGTTCTGTTATGTGGAACCCAAATTCATTGAAGCTCAATATCTCAAAACTGCTCAGAACACAGACAGAACCTCATAATTCCAAGGGGACAAGGTGTCTTCTGAATTTAAACTGATTTAGATGTAAATAAGGAGAGGTAGGATAGTTTACTTGTGCTGTATTTGAATGCAGCTACTACACCTGTACCAAAACATCATATGGTAATTATGCACAACTCATTGTGCTGAATAGCAAGGCACTGCATACTTCTATACAGCACTTTATGTGATTCATTTTATTTGAATGGTCAACTGATACCAATGACAGGCCCAAAGTTTTCTTATACACTTCTATAACCTCAGTATATCGCTTGCATTGAGGTCCCTGTAGTTACTGAATAATAAGCCTTGGTATGTAATAGGCCTGAGACTTTAAGGGGTTAAAGCTGCACTAAGTAACATTTGGAGATTTGGAGACCTCTCTGGTGGAAATGTGTAATTGCACACAACATGCAAAGGAACATTTTGTACCGTCAGTTGTGCTTCAGACCCCCACGAGTGGATGAATTTGATGTTTCTGAATGTCTTCACCCTAGAAGGAGTTTTGCAAAAGGACCAAAGTGACCTAGAACGCAGTTTGTGTGTGGACAAAAGGCCAAAGCTCATAGAAAAAGCTAGGTTTAAAAATTACCCACGTCCAGGTGGACTAGGCCTCAGTCAAAACTTAGTGTAGGACGTTTCTTCTGAGGATGTGAGCAAATGATCTACTATTGCCATCTTGTCTTCATCAATATAGCATTGATTTTGCATTCGAGACCTAAACATCAAGATGGACCTTCTTTTTGAGCTGTGCGTGTTTGACGTTAATATGTAAAGACGTATTACGTGGTTCGAAAAACTCCTACAAACTCCGTCCCGACACCTCTGACTTGTAAATTATTTTTTATTATTATTATTATTATTTCAGGCTTTACAGGTCGACCATAGCTCATCATAGCACCACGTTTTAACATTTCTTTTTTCTTATGACTCAGTAATGCTACTTCTTTCAAAGAAAACACTTACATAGTGCAGCTCCAAAAAGCAACTGATGTTGTTCATACTGCAAGTTTTGCCAATAAAACGTGTCAATGAAGTAAAGTACAGTACTTCAACACCATAATAACGTACAGTGTTAGTATGCTTCATGAGCAAGTTTAGTCTAAACAATGCGATCTTCAGATTTAAAAAATAAATAAATAAAAAGATGGTCAAAAATAAATTGGAATTAAGGCATGTATGGTTTAGGAATTTTTTAGTTGTGTATGATCTTTTAATTTTGTAATGTTCATCATGCAGCACAGTACTAAAAAAAGGTTGAAAGAAAAGAAGCATAAGCAGCTGATATTGTATCTGTGCCCATAGTGTAACATGAGACACAATATAAATATTTTAGAAATTATTAAAAAATAACAATGTAAAACATTTCAGTAATTTTTAAAATGGGTCAAAATATACTAGGGTTGCTGCTATGGGTGGTCTTTGCACTAGACCAAGGTAGGCAGCCACCTACCTCCCCAATGAAAATACAAAATAAATATACTCTATGTGTTGATGTTAAATTCTTATTCTGCTTACTTATTCTGAAATGTATGTACATTTTAAAAATTGCTATTATTTGCAATTTAGTGGTTTAATGTAGCGATTATTTAAGATTAATTTTCATGCAACCTCACCCCACGTCATGGTTGTAATGGTTGTGTTGATATGTGATGACACATCAGCGTAGACAGACTGGTATGATGGAGGCACTTAAATGATAATCTGTGTGTGATAAAGACTCTGAACTGAGAGCTGCACACACATATATATATATACATATATATATATATATATATATATATATATATATATATATAATATATATATATCTCACTGGCGACCTGTCCAGGGTGTATCCTGCCTTCCGCCCAGTGACAGCTGGGATAGGCTCCAGCACCCTACCGCGACCCAGAAGGATAAGCGGTTTAGATGATGGATGGATGGATATATATTGCTGTTGTTGGAAGAAAACCTTGTATCATAGTTTTTTCCAAGTAATTTTGGGCCGTTTCTTTTGGTCCATTCATCATGAAATTAACACACAATATATAGGACAACAGGCATTTTCAAATTATGTCAAAAACTTTAAAAAACACAAAAATGGAGATATGAGACAACAGCGATATAGCGAGCTACTGTCAGTGTAGATAACTGGTGCAGTGGGTAGCGCTGTCACCTCACAACAAGAAGGATCTGGGTTCAGTTCCCTAGCCGGGTGACCAGGGTCCTTTCTGTGCGGAGTTTACATGGGTTTCCTCTCACAGTCTAAAGACATGCAGCCAGGCAAATTGGGAATGCTAAATCGGCCCTAGGCATGTGTGTGAATGTCTGTCTGCCCTGTGATGGGCTGGTGACCTGTCCACAGCTTTCCTGCGTTTGCCCAGTGTGTGTGTGTGTGTAAACTCTGTATCAGATTACCTGTCAAGTTTGCATGTTTCTAGCATAGTTCTCAATGGTCTGCCAGTATAGTGAGATCATTTCACTTAATTCAATTTAAATGGCTAGAAATAAGTTAAATAATATTACAATATTCCGGCAGCAAAATGAGAAATATTAGGTCTAACACCTAGATTTAACTTTCCAAAATATTCTGCAGCATAGACAGCATCACTAATTTAAAAAGGGGCCCCTTTTCTGTCTCAGAAGGCCCCTGAATCATGAAGCCTATATACAGTCTTTGTTTTGTGGCAGATCAGGGAGTTACTCAGAGGGTACTTTTATTTTGGAAAAAAGAAGTCCCCAGCCCTCCCAACCCCTTACCCCAAACATTAGCCCTGTTGAGACATCTCCTGTTTTCCTCTTCAGGTTGCTGACACCAGCAGTGCTGTGTAAACATGGGTTTTATCGGCGCCGCTTTATGAGCCATGACTTCTCTGGTTTAATTGGCTCCAGCATGAACGACATCATGGAGGAACAGGAGAAGGACGGTCTGCTGGCAGAGTCTCCGGCCGCAACGGTCAGTTTCACTAAGTTAGATAATAAACCAGAGGCTGCTGGTTTCCTATTAGCCAGCTTCTTGTTTGAATGTTTCCCGTTCCACCTTAAATGGTGCAGCAGTTCCATTCTGTCGCCTGAGGCGACAGAATGGAACTGCTGCACCATTTAAGGTGGAACGGGAAAATTCGAGCTCGAACAAGAAGGTGGCGAATATGAAGCCGTTTTCAGCTTCATTAAAAAAAACAGCCTCTCCTCTTACATTTTACATCACTCCTAGATTTAAATCGAGCTTGTTTTGGATAGTTATAAGTTATTTTGACAGCGATGCGGTCCGGATTTTAACTGTAACGTTAATGTTTTCATCTGCCGCTGACGAGGCTAATGTTAGTTAGCTACCGTTAGCTTGCTAGCGGAATTTCCAAAGAGTGAAATATTGTCAAAATGGGCGGTTTTGCTCTAAATCATAAAGCCTTCAAGTACATTTCTGCCTTTATTTTGTAGCTGTCAGCATTACTTTGGATAAATGTAGCTTAAAAAAGGAGCTTTTTCAGTTGTCTTTGTGGTTAGGTTAGCTAGCTAGGTTTACTAGCTTGGTACGTATTCCCTGCAAGAAGCTGGTAGCTGCTTAAAGGGGAGTTCCACCAATTTTTCAGAATTTCTGAATAAGTCCTTGAGATATAAACGGTCATTGAGAGCGGTTTGGTGGGGAAATGGTTCATTGTAGAGATTCAGATGTCTTTACAGTGGTGGTGATGGGAACCAGGTGTCACCATGCCTACAACACAAATATACCCCTTTTTTAGTGTCCAAAACTGCCAGTGAACCTACACGTGCATTTTGAGTTTTTATATGTAATGCTGATGATGGTAAAATATGCATAAATCTTAAAAAATAAGTTTTTCTAAAGTTATTTTTGCCTTACAATGGCATGCATGTATCCATCCTACATGAATGGGTCAAAATAAATGAATTAAAATTCATTTTAAGACAAAACTTGATCATAAAACTGTCATTCAGCAATGTGTCGGACATCCGGCAGCATAAATCTAACCATTTCATTTAATGACTTTCTATGAGGGAGCATTTAGAGGTGGATGTCTGGTTCCTATCACAGAGCATTTCACACCAAACCAATCTGAGTGACTTTGTTTACATCTCAACCTTTTAATTATGTAGGTTTTTTGAAAAATAGGTGGAGTTCCCCTTTAACTTGCCAGCCTTCCAGACAGGAGCTAGCAGCACTGTTTCTTTGTGGATTAACTTTAATGTTAAATGATGATAAATCATTTTTATCTCTAGAAGCCGGGCAGCAGCAACAGCAGACCCAAACCGGTTCTGGATGGAGGGAACAGACCAGTGGAGAAGAGAGGACCCTATATTATGTCCAAAGTTCCTGCAATACATACTAAATTACGTGAGTAGAGCCACATTGTAGCCTAGAAATAGCACAAATGACAGAAAATTATCTTGTGTCATGAGAGAGAGCAGTGCTGACAGACGATTTCAGGACTGAATGTCTCCTTGCTCTTTCCTATATTGGAGATTTCTAACTTGTGCAGAGCTTAAAGGTATTGTCAATTCATAAATATATTGGTTTTCCTTTGGTTTATTTTATGTCCCTTTCTGTGCCCAATTCTGTGTAGAGAAACACAGAGAGATGGCCAGAAGAGTGCTGAAGAAGAAAGGCTTTTCGTCCGGTGGGCCGGTCATGCAGCAGCCCAGGCATGGGGCTAAAAAGTGAGTGAACTGCTGTTCAGTGTCCTTTTGATAGTATTTAAAAGGGAGTTCCATGTTTCGTTTTTTTTTTTCAATTCTCTGCATAATTCAATCATTGAGATGTAAACAAAGTTGTTCTGAGTGGTTTGGTGTGAAATGGTTCATTGTGGAGAAACTTACTGACTCTGATTTCTTTACAGTGGTGGTGATGGGAACCAGGGGTATATTTGTAACTATTTCATATAATAACCTCTTGTGAGGAAGCTTTTGGAGGCATTTTGGACGTCTGGTTCCTATGACCACCATTGTGAACTTTCTCAATAATGGAGCATTTCACATCATTACACCTGGGCTGGATTTTAAAACAGCTGATTTAAAATTTACCCTGTTTTTCTTTAAAGCTCATCTCACACCCAAGCAGTGAATTGCTGCCAAAGGTTTTAAAACACTTTTTTTCATATACGCAATAGACAAATGAGTAAAGATGGGTTGGTTCTTTAACAAACACACATAAAAGCACAGTTTAGTAATGATTAGACAGAGTGGTGAAGCATTTTCTGGGTGTGTATGACTTTATTTCCTCATTCCACAGATGTAATGAAAGACAGCTGCAATGAAAGATGAGAAGATTTGGAAGTTTTCCATTGTAATTAAGCAGCAGGCTTTTTCTGTAATGTTCTTTTAAAGGGGATTTGTTGTTTTTTTTTTAGTGTGAAGTTCAATAAGGGATATGCAGCACTTAGCCAGAATGCAGAAGACACGCTAATATCTTTGGACTCGGACAGGTAAACAAATAAATCCTACTTTGTGGTGCTTTAATTACCTCACACTGTAAAATAGCAGAGGCTGAACTGATGTACTTAGATTTGGAACTGATTTAACTTCTTATTATTGAGGGTACGTCGACCAGCCACTTTATTATATCTACGTATCTTGTATCTGCACGCTTTGTCCATTTTATCAGCTCCACTTACTATATAGGTGCACTTTGTAGTTCTACAGTCACAGACTGTAGTCCATCTGTTTCTCTGCATACTTTGTTAGCCCCTTTTACCCTGTTCTTCAGTGGTCAGGACCCCCATGGACCCTCACAGAGCAGGTACTATTTGAGTAGTGGATCATTCTCAGCTCTGCAGTAACACTGATGTGGTGGTGGTGGTGGTGTGTTAGTGTGTGTTGTGCTGGTCTGAGTGGATCAGACACAGAAGTGATGCTGGAATTTTTAAACACCTCAGTGTCGCTGCTGGACTGAGAATAGTCCACCAACCAAAAATGTCCAGCCAACAGCGTCCTGTGGGCAGCGTCTGGTCACCACTGATGGACTAGAGAATGACCAACACAAACTGTGCAGCAACAGATGAACTACTGTGTCTGACTTTACATCCTCAAGGTGGACCAACAAGGTAGATGTATGGAATAGAGTGGACTGTGATCCACTTGTACCAGCACAACACAAACTAGCACACCACCACCACATCAGTGTCACTGCAGTGCTGAGAATGATCCACCACCCGAATAGTACCTGCTCTGTGGAGGTCCTCACCATTGAAGAACAAAGTATCAGAGAAACAGATGGACTACGTTCTGTAATTGTAGAACTACAAAGTGCTCCTGTATGGTCAGTGGAGCTGATAAAATGGACAGTGAGTGTAGAAACAAGGTAGGTGTACTATTAATTAAATGGCCAGTCAGAATGTGTATACAGTGCTGTGAGAACTTTACCATGTGAGAACTTCTCTGTTGAAAGTGTGATTGTCACGAGTTTTTCGGTAGTTTCATGGCTTTGAGTAAACCTGTATTTCATAATGAAAGCCGATAGCTTCCTGTTCCCGGTTGTTGCTGCTGCTACAAAAAAGATCACTCTGCATCATAGACTTGATTGTTGTTAGAGGAAGTTACTGGGACTAATGTTTTATATTGGTGTCAGACTGTTACTTGTCTCTTCATTGCTTGTTTCTCCTTCAGTGACGTAGAGCTGGAGTCCCAGTGTTCTTCTGGATATTCCTCTGCAGAGGTGAGACAGTCTGAGGAAGAGGAGAGTAATATTATTAATATGAATTAATATATTATTAATTCAAATGATGATTGTTCATCATTGTAAAGTGATAGTATGTGATGCACTCACACTTTTAGAAATCTGTCAAGAGTTTAAAAGTCATTTAATATACACCCAGCTAGAGCTGGGCGATATGGCCAAGAATGTTATCACGATAAACAAAATTCATATTGTTCGATATTGATACATACCGCGATAAATGTCAAATCATTATTTCTTTCAAGTTTGAAGGCTGATTTTTGCTCCTGGGTGGTTAATTGCTGTTTTAAAACCATGTCGGCACACGAGAAACACTCGCCAAACAGTGGAACATTTCACAGATCTGTCATGGGAGAGTGGGAGAGTGTCTGCTGAGCTGTTTTTACCAGCTGGAAAAGCACGGCTATTTTGTAATAGTCATAATTTAAGAAAGAAAACAGATTATTTTTAGCTGGTGCCGAGCGCTCGGCTACCCCGCTACAAATGACATCACAGTATTCAGACACCAGCTAGCGACGACTGGATATTCAGTTGTAGTAGTTTGAGGGGTGAACCGCAAAATATCAACACCAGACAAACAGAGTCCTCTTTTTAGGTACGTTTAAACTGAAAGCGGAGCTTTTTTGTGTCGTGTTTGATCTACAGTTTCATCAGTTCTCCGTGTTTTGGAGTGACAGAGCGCTACTTCAAGTTAGCCAGCTGCTAAAAACAGCTAGCCTGGAAAGATAAAGCTCTCCCGCTCTTCACTGCCTCACAGCTTCCTCAGTTTACTTTCGTTTAAATCGGAGCTGTAATTTACATGAACCCACTTCTTTCTTTCACTTTCGTTGCTCGAGAATGCACTAATACTAAAATATGACGGTTTGGCGCTGTAACACGGCGCTGCAGACGTGATTTAACACCGCTAAAGTTGTTAGGATGCACGGAAAGAGGTGAGTTCACCGTAGGACAGTACAGTTACACCACTGACCTCGTCACTCACACTCGGTCACAGGAGAACAGATCGCCTGTCACTCCACTCAAACAGGGAATGTATAACTCCGCGTTTCAGCCGTTGCTCCCTCTCTAATCATGTAGAAAAACTCGGAAGTGCGCCCTCTCCTGGCGACAGCAGAGTAGTGTCGCCTTCCTTGCAGTAGAAAACGCCTCCAAGGCTTTCGCTGAACGTGGAAGTGTGAGAATGGTGTATTATATCGAACATGTCGTATCGCTCTATCGAGGAAAAGTTAAATCGCGATAATTATGGTTATCGTTTTATCGCCCAGCCCTACACCCAGCCAATATTTCAGTGTAGCATGTGTTTCTCAGTGTTGTGATGTCACATCTTCTCTCTTCCTCTCCTCTCCTCCAGGTGCACCCGGAATTAAGCCAGCAGCTGCTGAAGGACGGCTACAGGCTGGACGAAATCCCCGACGACGAGGACCTGGACCTCATTCCACCAAAAGCCATGGGCTCCTCCATCTGCTGCTGCTCATACAGCCCATCCTGCTCAATGCAGTGAGAACCACCCTTATCCTACAACCTTAAACCCTTCAGCCACCACGCTGGACCCGCAGAAGCTGCCTTCCAGCAGATGGAACCGTTCCTGAGGCAACTGGAGCTCAGGACTTTAGAACAGCCCAAAGTTCCGTCAAGCTCCTGTGAGGTTCTAGAGCTTCAGTAATGACGGTGCTGCTACATTTCATACTGTTCTCCCAACAGATTACAGCTGGATGGAGTTGTCCGTGTGGCAGCCTGTTACGCTGATCCCACAAATAGCATAGCACTTTTGCCGAGTTAAGGCTCTCCAAACCTGCACGGTGCTTCTGGTGTTACTTTAAGGGAGGTTTCCTAAAAGTGCTGCAGAGATTATCGCAAAATGGTATGATTTATTTCCCTTCTCTGCCATTTAAGATGAACTTAACCCTGCTGTGCTATTGGGAAACACCCTCTAGGCAAACTGTCATCATACTAACCTTTAGCTCATGCCTAAGCAGACAGATAGAGGTCTTGTCCTGTTCGGGCTAATTCATAATTCTAGCCCACCTAATCTTCAGGAGAAACTAGTAATGCTGCTGCAACATAAACCATCTAAGTAGATTGAGCAGAACACCAAATGTCCAACTACATTGACCACTTTCTTAATGAACAGACTGGGGTAGCTGTGGTCAGTTTAGGAATTTCTAGGCTACATTTATAACTTTGAGAATGTTTATTTTAATGGAACCTAGTAGTCTATTCTCTGTATCTACTGGTCCCAATCCCAGTGTTACACACTCCGGAAACAGCACATTTGATCAATAGGTGTTGAATCAATTGAATCGCGTGTTGGATGAGAGAGAAGCAGCACTGGGACTGGTAACACCAGGCCAGGGGTCATGATTTTAGATCCTGGAAGGCCTTAATCCAGCACTGTTTGGTAAGTTTTCGTTCTCTGAAACACATGATTCAACAGTTACTTACCAGGTTCAGTGGGTGCATTTTAGCAGAGAAGTCACCAAACTGCTGCCCTGCCGTACGTCAGAATGCACAGTACACTGCAAAAGTCAAAGTCCACCATTCATTTAATTTCCAAATTTCCATTTTCAAAAAAAGCTTTGAAGTAAAAGTAATTAATTTTTCAATATCAGGAAAATAGCATAAACTATTACATCGAAGCCTCAACAACCATATATATAATATGTAGTGTAGTTAGTATTATGTTTGCTCCCCCTTTCATTCTTTTCAGGAGACTCACTTTCAGTTTCCAAAGAAATTTGTAGGGATATTTTTCCAAACCTCCGACATTCAGTCTTAGATGTTGGTTACATGTTTGATGTGTCCGTCTCCTCTTTTCAGTGAGGTTCTTCTTGACAGCTACACATCCTTTCAGACCCACAGCGCTGAGTCGTCTTCTCACAGTGGAAGGATGGACAGAAACACCTGTGGATGTTTTCAGATCTGAAGCAGCTTGATTTTCTCCTCTCTCTCAGAGATGAAAGCTTTAAGTGCTGTTTATCTGATGGGGGCAGTTTTGGTGGCCTACCAGGTCTTCCAGGTGGTTGTTAGGAGTCCGGTTTGCTCCTTATCTTTAATAATTTTAGAACTCCAGTTTTGGAAAGTCTTGTTTTATTGCTTCTTTTGATGGTGAAATTGAACAAATGAATGATGATCTTTGGCTTTTGCACAGGGCTGATATAATGTAGTATGGGATGTGGCTTTGCACACAGTTCTGAAATCTGGCACCTCCAGGACCTGAATTGACCACCCATGCTTTAGGGGCTGCATTTTATGGAGAACCTGAACAGCAACACCTAATTTTACTAGTTTTTTTTTCTTTAAAAGGACAGTCTGACCAGATAGGGCCCCTTCTGATGATGTATCTTTTTGATGTAAGCTTTTTACAAAACTACAGCTGGGTTTTGGGAGCTGTACAGGACACATAGACACACCATCACAGCCTTTTACATGTTTGAAATAACAAACCAGATGCCTAACAGTGCTACCAAGAAGCTAGAAAACACATTTCACAGTCTACTACCAAAAAATGCCCCAAAGCACATCTAGTTTCTCAAAAACTCCTCCCACCTTCAAGATACATCATTAGAAGGTGGTGTCCCTTTAAGAAATAATGAACCCTAATTAATGAGGTTGTTCAAAGTTGGAACAGAAAACCTGCAGACAGTGGCCTTCAAGTAGAATAGCCCCTTAATGTGCCTCTATACTGAGTGGGATTCATCAATATATCAAAGCAGAGGTTATCAGCTCCTGGTCCTTAAGGGGTTAAAGTCCAGCGCAGTTTAGTGATTTCCTGCTCAAACACACTAACTAAACCTGGTAACTAACTGCTGAATTGAATCACCTGTGTTAGAGCAGGAAAATCACCAAAAGTGAGCTGGACTCTGGCTTTACCGGACCAGAACTGATGACCCCTGTTTTAAAACAAAGTTCTCAGGCTGAAACCCTGGATGCCACAACAGTTTAGCAGTTTAGATTCCTCCCCATGATTAAGCCTGATTAGCTGCTAAGTTCGAAACAAGCGGGACACTACACTGTGTTGAAGGAGTGAAGCTATGGAGCGGAAAGTGATGGGGGTCACAGTGACCTGTACACACAATACACACAATAGCTAATACAGCTGTAGGCAGAAATGTGGTTGCCCTGGTCAAATGACATGTTTTGTTGCTGTTTGTTTGCTGAATTTCAAAAAACAAAATCTGAAATATAAAGAGTGGCCTGTGCAAAAGTGATGGCACAATTTCTATTTTCTGCTGTCAGAAGAAAACCTTGTATCTCTGTTTTTGACATAATTTGAAAATCCCTGTTGCTCTTTACAGTGTGTGTAAATTTCATGATGAATGGACCGAAAGAAACGGCCCAAAATGACCTGGAAAAAATTCTGGTTCCATTGACTTACGTTAAAAGTAAAGTAGGTTTTTTCCTTCTCCTGTAACGTTACCATTTTGGAGATATGAGGTTTTCTTCCGACACCAGTGATATATATACATACATATTACGTTTTCTTATATATCATTTTTTTTCTTTCCCCAATATGTTAAACTCAGCAAATAAACAGAAATTGTCTGTTAAAATAAGCTAAAAATGAAGTGTGCTTCTTGAAAAGGATGTGTTAACTCATTTTCAATATAACGTAATTTGACCAGGGTTGTTCAAACTTATGCATACAGCTGTATATCGCATTGTGTATCTGGTGGCAGTAGGGCTGGGTATCGTTATACAGATAATTGACTTTGATACTGGTTCCTGAGTGATACTTTTTCTTGATATCTTCTTATAAATACAAAATCATTGTTTGAAGTCATATACTGCAATGGAGTAATCAAAGGAGCACCTCACAGAATTGAAAAAGCACCAACATACAGCTTGTAATTTGCAGTCTAGATTGCTTATTGCAGGACTGTCCAGTCTTACCCGCAAAGGGCCGGAGCAGAACGCGATATTTCAGTACTCGTTACTATCTGAAGTTATTCAAGCTACCATTAGAGCTGAATTTCGGTACCCAGCCCTGCCAGGCCCTGCTGATCCGACATGTTTGTCTCATTTCCCCTTCAATTCTATGAAGGCAGTTGTGTCTCAGTTTATATTATATAGGGATGTTCTCTCCTGTGCACGTTTATATTAAATGCTGAGCTTTACGTTTGTGACTTTCCGCTTTGCAAGCTGCACTTTGATTTAATCAGTTTTTTCTTTTACATTGTCTGCTACAGACGTGATGTAGGAAGCTGAGTGCGAGTGCGGGATGTGGTGAGCAGGTTTGCCCTTGTCTTGTAGCTCTCATGTATATTTTAGTGTTTGTGTTATTTGAAAGCTGTCATAACTTTATAACTGTGTTACGAACTGGCCTGCCTTCTGCGCTGAGTTTATGCAGTTTTCCTCCTGCATTCCAGATGATGTCGATCCGCCAAGACGGCTGGTGTCCAAAGTTTGCTTCATAGTTTAGCACTGGAGCTACATGTAGTTGGCATTTTAATGTTTTTAGCAACATAATATGCGTTTGGCCATGTTTATGGATAACCGTAGGTCATACAGTGTCAGAAACGACACCCATTGGTCTGTTACTTGGTGGCTAGATTAGCCGTTTAGCTCTGTTGCAGAACTGAAGTAGCAAACTTCAGACACCAAACACGTCTTGGCTGATGAGAATTGTTTAAACTCAGTTTTTGTCCAAAACCATCACTTCAACACATTCTGCCTTTGACTGTTGACAGAGTACAGCTGCCTGCGATTTGAAGTGCAGTATTTTATATCCGCTATAGGAAGCCCAGTCTTTTTTTTTTTTGATTGTTATGTGGTTCTGTTGCTTCATGTGTTACTGAACTTTTTTATTTAAATTATTTCTTTATCAAACGATTTTTATGTATTTTTGCTTTTCTCCCTGTTTTGGTCAATACAGTTTCAGCCCCCAGGACTTTTAAGTTAATGTTGTACCCATTTAACATGCTGCTTCAAATGGAAAGTTATATTTTTAGAAAAATAATAGCTGAGGAGCTGCTCATTTATCTCTTAAAGGGGAATTCCAGCACTTTCTGCATAATTCAGTTGAGATGTAAACAGTCATTCAGAGTGATTTGATGTGAAGTAGTTTAATGTAGAGAAACTTACAGATTATTTCTTTACAGTGGTGTTGATGGGAGCCAGGGGTCGCAATGTCTACAACACAAATATAGACATTTTATTTACTATTCAAAACCACTAGTGAACCTTGCATGTACGTTTCCACTGTGAATGGATGTTTTAGGCCAAAATCTGTAAACAGCATACTCCAATTTCTTAGATCAGAGAAAGGTCTAGAAATTTGATTAAGAAATCTGATGAAGAGAGATCAGTGATCAGATTTCTCAGCGCATGTGAGCTCTTACTCTGATTTCTTTCCGATTTCTCAGTCTGCACATGTGCGAAAACAGACGGCGGTAGCGGAAATAAGTGAGCAGTGTTTTTTCGAACACTTTTGGAGTGAGTCTGAAACCAAATATATGCTTGATGAAATGAAGGATTTAAATATTCTTCATCTTCTAGGCGATGCATGTTTAAATTTTCAGGTAAAGTGGTGCGAAGTTTTAAAAGCCTCGCCATGAAGTTTGTTTTACATTATATTTACGTCACGTCGCCTTCTGTGAGTTTATTGGCTGGTTGCAAAGCAGAAATCTGATTACTGTCTGACTCATGTAGACCCGGAGTTTCCCCAATATCTCATCACTGAAGTGCGTGTAAACACGATCAGATTACTGACAAAATCTGATTTTCTGCAGTTATCAGATTATTAAGTGCATGTAAACACACTCAATACCTCAGCACTGAGGCATCAGGCAGTAGATTCATCACCGCTTCATGTAATAACTTTCTGTGAGGGAGCTTTTGGAGGCATTCAGACGTCTGGTTCCCATCACCACCACTGTAAACATTTTGACTAAGTTTAGTTAACGGAACGTTTCACACCAAACCACTCTGAATGACTTTGTTTACATTGATTTAATTATACAGACATTGTGGAAGATTCATCAGATTCCATGTTTAATTTACTCTACAACTCCAGAAATCAATATATGAGGGCAAAAAATAAAAGAATGGAATTTTTTCTAGTTCTATTATGTATGTATGGAATATGTATTAAGGTGTTTTGTGATTTGAGCTGTTTGGACACTTTTCATGAATTTTATTAACTACAGCATGTTTATAGGGATGTAAACAGACAAGGGAAGTTTGGGTATGAGAAAGTTACTGATGTGTTTTTTTTCTGTGAGGTGTGTGTGTGTGTGTGTGTGTGTGTGTGTGTGTGTGTGTGTGTGTGTGTGTGTGCGCGTGTGTGTGTTAGTTTGAGTGGTGAACTTGTACATATGTTGCACTCTGAGTACTCGGCAGACTGTTCCTCCTGTACTATGCAACTAACTGGACAATCACTTCTTCACAGTTAATGTGGCGATTACTAACCGTTACTCAGTTTAAATGCAATAACTTGAAAATGTGTTCTTGTTGTGGAAAAACACTATTATTTGTATTTAACTCTGTTGTTTTGCAATATTAAAGGAACACCAACCTGTATAATATCTGGCTTTTTATTATAGCAAAACAGCAATAAATATTCAAGATTAAAGTCTGAGTTGTTCTAGATTTTCAAATCCTTTACTTTTCTGTACCTTAATTATGTTCATTTTATTAAAATAAATGACTGAACATTCCATGTTTCACTACCAAAACACCCAGATTACTGTCCTGCATACGAGTTCTATCCCATTTTTAATCTTAAACAGATTTTAAAAGCACATAGACTTTTATTTTAGACAATAAACTAAGACAAATATTACAAACA